GTGGTACCCACGGCAGCCAGTGGGGGTTACCCCAGAGCCAGCAGCATAGAAACCAGCCAGGTACCCCCACTACGTCACAGCCAGTAACCAGAGAACGGGAGCAGTGGGAACAACATGGGCGACCGTTGGGCCCGAGGTGGCTGCTGCAATTCCAAAGGGAAAAATCAGACCCCAGGCCCAAATCCTCTCCTGGTGTAAACAGTCGGAGCCCCCCCGCCTGCAAAGGATCCAGCCCACCGCCCGCATGGCCACGCAGATTGCAGCCCTCCGGCCGGATAACGCCTTGGCCCTTCTGCTGCCTTGCCCCTTCTGCCAGCCCATTGGCTGCCAAGGGACGGGCCTGGAGGTTCTGGGTAGGAGTCAGGAAGGCTATGGCAGTCCAGCCCCAGGGGTCCCACTTGGGCGAGGAGTTTGTTCAATGTAGCAACTCAACGTGCTGGTTGCTCTCGTGCGGGACACCTGAGCCCAGGCAGTTCATGGACTCATAGATCACTAGGACTGGAAGGGACATTGAGAAATCATCAGGTCCCATCCCCGGCCCTCACGGCAGGACCAGACACCGCCTAGACCGTCCCAGATAGATGTCTGTCTAACCCGCTCTTGAATATCTCCCCAGGCAATTTATTCCAGTGCTTACCCACCCTTCTTATTAAGGGCGTTTCTTTGAGAAAGCCACCAACGGGGTCGCCGGCTCTGTAAGCGTTTGGGGAATGGGATTTTATTCCAGGAGCAGTTTTTCCGGGACAAAATTCCCCTAGCTTGGGAAGGCCCATGGGAGTCTGACAGCTCCAGGCCCAGAGCCACTGGCTGAATTCTGGGTTAGCAGCTATTTCTTCAGCTCCCTTGAGCTGCCCGATCACTGCTACCCCCTCTCCCTTGCACTGGAGAGAGGAAATGGGGAGGGATTTTTAGGAGGATTTTCTGAAATCTCTCAAAAAAGACGAGATGTTTCTTTAGTCCTAATGCTTCCTTCTTGCCCTGCAGCGAGAATTCTCTCCAGAGCCTTCTGAATGGGGATATGATTGGGAATTCAAACTTCACTTTCCAGAAGAGAATAAATACCTTTCTGTGACAGGGGCTGTGTCTACACTGGGCCACTTATTCCGGAAAATCAGCCGCTTTTCCGGAATAAGCTGCGAGCTGTCTACACTGGCCCTTGAATTTCCGGAAAAGCAATGATGCTCTACTGTACAAAATCAGCCGCTATTCTGGAAAAACAATTCTGCTCCCGCTCGGGCATAAGTCCTTATTCCGGAACACTGTTCCGGAAAAGGGCCAGTGTAGACAGCCCAGTAGTCTTTTCCGGAAAAAAGCCCCGATCACGAAAATGGCAATCGGGGCTCTTTTCCGGAAAAGCGCGTCTACATTGGCCGCAGACGCTTTTCCGGAAAAAGGGCTTTTCCGGAAAAGCAGCCTGCCAATGTAGACGCTCCTTTTCCGGAAAAACTGAAAACGGAATAGTAGTCCGTTTTAAGCATTTCCGGAAATTCATGCCAGTGTAGACACAGCCAGGGAGTGCATACCCCACCCTGGGCCAGGAGGGCTTAATATCCTGTGGGCGGAGGAAGTCCCACCTCCTAGCTGCACTGGGCATGCTCCAAAGGCTGGGGTAGTATAAAAGGGAGCAGCAGAGCTCAGTCTGGGTTGGACACTGGAGAGGAAGCACCTGCTTGAGGAGCTCTGGAGGGGGACCAACCAGAAGCCCAGACAACGAGAGCTGGAGACGTGGGAGACTGTATGCAGCCTCCAGAGCTGGCAGAGCAGCAGGAGGAGACTGATGCTGTGGAGCCAGAGGACCCAGAAACTATGTGGATCACCTCAAAGCCAGAGCTGGTAGGAAGTGACCCAGGAAGGGTGCACGAGGGGTATCTCCCAAAGTGTTGTGGTGGGATTCCCTGCTGAGTGAGTGGTGGATCATGAGTGAGTGGTGGGTATAGCATGGATTTATACTCCTGTCTTCTTATTCATTCCTTTCCTAACGAGTTGCAATGCTCTGGGTACATCTAGACTGTAGGCTTCTTTTGAAAGAAGCTTTTGCAGAAGAGATCTTCCGAAAAAACTTCCTCCGAAAGAGCGCGTCCACCCTGCCAAAGCACAATGGAAAAGCCATCTGCTTTTTCGAAAGAGAGTGTCCACACTGAATGGGCGCTCTCTCTCATGTAAGCTGTGATTACTATGGATGGAGTGGCCACCAGGGCACCTGTGCTTTTTCCTCTTTCCTCCTCTTTTGAAAAATCTCCCTCTTCCCCGCCCACACCCGCCTTTTTCTGAAAGAGTTTTTTTGGAAAAGGCATTCTTTCTCATAGAATGAGGTTTACCAATGTCGGAAAAACCCTCTGTTCTTTCCATTTTCTTTCAAAAGATCACAATTGCAGTGTGAATGTAAGTGAATTTTTTTCAGAAAAAGGGCTGTTTTTCCCCTTGCTCCCTGACAGTCAAGGGATTGGCAAGTCCCGGTGTGCATGGCTGCAGCCCCTCCTGCCCTCCCGACACGGAGACTTTGTTTGAGAAAAGGGCTACCCAACATGTGGCCTGTGGGTGGGACCCATTGGCCTCCACTGGGCACACGCTCCACACCGGTGAGACATCTCCCCAGCAGGATGAGCATTGAAAGACGCAAGCGGATGGGCTGGCTGGAACAGACGGGTACAGGGTGTTGGTATTTCTAGCCCCCAGGAAGGAGGTGCAAGGAGCACAGGGCATTGCATCAAAGAAGATATTTGCATATATTTGCATAGATATTTGCATGTACAAGTAACCTTACTTAAGTTGCGGCCCTGAGCATGTGCTGCGAATTTCACTGTGGCCTCCGGGGCTTCCAGAGTTGAGTAGCCCTGCTTTAGATCCTTAAAACCTGAGTCTCCAAAGATACTTGTCCAACCAGGGGTGTGCCCCCATTGCAGCTCCAGCTAGGGTGTATCCCCCTGGTCTATTAATGAGAACGTCATGTGAGGTTGTAGCAAATGGTGTGTCGATTCTTCCCTCACAAATTCTGTTCGGTGCTGTGTCGGTTAATCCTTTTCTTTAGCCCGGTGTGCTTGGTCCTGAAGTGAGGGTTACCAGCTGGAACTGCCAGGGTCACGTCTGGAGGCTTTTTAAAAACTGGCATCACGTTAGCTACCCTCCAGTCATCTGGAGCAGATGCTGATTGAAAGGACAGGCTACAAGCCACAGTTACACCTACACTGCAGCACTATTCCGAAATACCGTTGTCCGTGTCCACACAGCAGGCAGTTATTTCGAAATAGTGTCAAAATGCCGTCAGGCTGGAGGACGTCTTACTCCGACGCCTGTAACCCTCGGGCTGTGTCTACACTGGACCCCTTTTCCGAAAGGTCCCTTATGCCTGATTTTAAGAGGAATAAGGGACCTTTCGGAAAAGGCTTTATTTTCCGAAAGATCCCCGTCTAGACTGGCACTTTTCTCCGGCAAAGCCCCGAGCCGGAAAAAAGCGGCAGCCATGTTCATGCAAATGCAGCGGAGAAAATTTAAATCCCCCGCGGCATTTGCAATTCCGACTTGTCTCATCTGCATCCCTCTTCTGGAAAAGGGGTGCAGTGTAGACACCACCTTACTGTACGAGGAGGAAGGGAAGTCGAAGGAAGAGAGCTCTATTTCGAAACAAGTGCTGTGTAGATGCTCCCAATTTCAAAATAAGCTATTTCAGAATAAGATAGGGAATTGATGAAGCTCGATTTGCATAGCTTATTTCGAGTTAAGCCCTGCAGTTCCACCCTTAGTAGTTCTGCAATTTGGCATTTGAGTTCCTTCAGAACCCTTGGAGTAGCAGGCTGCTCTCAAATCCCCCCTCACTCTTCTCTACTGCAGCCTAAACAAGCCCAAATCCCTCAGCCCCTCCTCTAGGTCATGTGCTCCGGCTCCCTCATCATTTTGGTCACCCTTCTCTGGATCCTCTCCAATGTGTCCACATCCTTTCTGTAGTGGGGGGCCCAGAACTGGGTACACCGCTCCAGATGTGGCCTCCCCAGAGCCGAATCGTCTGCTTTCGAATGTCGTGTTCAATGCTATATTTCTTTGTCAACGTTGGACGTCCAAGCTCTCCAGCATCACGGGTTAGATTGTGGGGATCCTCCAATGAGCTAGGGAATTTTCGTGTTGGGCATTCCGGGAAAATGTGGTGCAGTGTTTGCGGACCACCACAATCACAAAGTCGAGAGATGGCAACAGATTCCACTCACGCACTAGATAACCACACCTGCCCTGACCAGTCCGAAGCCTGTTTAGGACTCAGCACAGTCTCCGGGGAAAATCGAAACCTTTCTGCTCGGCAGTGGGATCCGACACAAGACGTTGTGTGGGACGTCTGCTTGCTGCCATTCAGCTCGCCAGCGTTCCTGGACACTGGCCGTGACTTCCTTCGCTCCCTGCCAGGGGGGCTCGCAGGATTTTAGACGCGATGTTGGTAGCTGATCAAAGTGTAGTGCCGAAGAAAGGGGACTGATCGCTTCTCTAGCTCTGCTGGCCACACTCCTCCCAATGCGTTGCTAGCCTGCTTGGCGATCAGGGCGCCCCGTTGGCTCCTCTCCAGCTTCTCACCCACTGCCATGCCCAGGCCTTTCCCACCCAACAGCTGCTGGCTAGGTTCTGCGTTGGGCTCCCATCACTGCAGCTGCTGGGGAGGGCGGTTCGGGGCTGAGGCAGGTGGGCAAAACAGGGCCTGGGGGACACTCGTACAGCGTTGCCCGGCTGTGGCAGGCGGGCCCCAGTCTCCAGGGGCAACAAGCCAGCACCGCCCACCGGTGTGAAAGTCCCTTGTCTTGTCCTCCTCCCAAAAGTGATGTCTCTCCTTCCTGCCAGCCCAGAGTGGTCCCTTGCCCCGTCAGAGCTCCCCTCCCCAGCCGGATCATGACAACACCATTTCTGCGCACCCAGCCTGCGTTTCTAGGGCTGGACCCAGTGGCTCAGGAACATTCATAAGAACGGGGGTGCTGATGTCCCCCCCTTTTTGAGTCCTGCCCCCTCCAGCTGAGGCTAGGAGCAAAGCCCTGGCATGTGGGGCAGCAGCTGTGTCCTGGGACCAGGTATGGTGCTGGCAGCAGAGCCCCCAGTGTGCAGAGCTGAAGCAGAGCCCCCCCGATATGCGGGGTGGGCAGTCAGGACCTGTCACGTTACTGGATTTTATGGGAAGCATCCAGATCACTGCTGCGCCCATGGGAGGGGGGTTGCCCCAAAATTAGGTACAAAGGGGGCCATGCGAGGTGTCAAATGAAAGCTCATCTTCTACTGATTCTACATGTGCTATGCATGTGATGGTGGTTGTGTGGATACTGAATGTTTCTCCGTGTGCGGTTGAGCAATGGGCGAAGCAGCTCAGCCCATGGACATGCTAATGAGCAAGTCGCTATGGAACAATAGACCTCTGTAGGGCAAGGACACCCCTCAAGAATGGGGGCTGATACCTAGGGGCTACCAGCAGGGGACACAGGGATAGGCCGCTGGCCAGGTGACCTGCTGCAGCCAAGAAGAGACCAGGAAGAAGGTGTAAAGATGCCATGTGGCATCCTGCATTTTGGTCTTCAGATCTGCTCATGACCCCAGATGTGGCCTCGCAGGGAATCACGAGCTGGAAAGAACTGTGACCCATCCTGGCATAGGATGTGCACCAAGGACTTTTAAGCCAGCTGCTGTGACATCTCTGCTACAGCCTGCACCGAGAACTGGGAGATTCGGTGCATGTAACGTACTATCCTTTAACAACCTCACTCTCAGGCTTTTCTTTCTTGTAATAATAAACCTTTAGATATAGATTCTAAAGGATTGGCCCAGCGTGATTTGTGGGTAAGATCCAGAGCGTAAATTGACCAGGGATCTGTGGCTGGTTTCTTGGGACCGGCCAGAACTTGTTCGGGGTAGGTGGGATTGGGTGCTAGGACCCCTCACCTGTGTATGAGGCCCGGGGCTGTTTGGGGCACAGAGAGAGCTGGGGTGTCTGAGGGGTTTTGCTCGTGAGGCTTCTGGCTGGCCAGGCAGGCAGCTGAGTGCTCTGTGCAACTGGTTTGTGGCCTGTTTGGAGAGGTCACCAGTCTGGGGGCTGTAAGGAGCCCCGAATTTGAGCAATTCACCCTGAGCGGACGCCCTCAGCTGTGCCCAGACCCGGCCTGGTCCCTCACAGGACCCCAGGCCTGGAGCCAGCAGCAGCATCCCAGGGCACAGGGCAGCAGCTGAGTCTCTGGGTGTGGTGCTGGTAGCAGAGGCTGTGGTGCATGGAGAGGCCGCCAGGATCCTGGGTGCTGGGCTGGTAGTTCAGGGGTGCTGCAGGATCCCCCCCCATGTCTAGTTCCTGCACCTGTGGCTGGAGCTCAGCCTGGTGGGATCATGTCGGCTGCAGAGCCCTCTTGCAAATCCAGGCCTTATTGAGGGGTCTAAGGAGGAGCTGGGCTTTTGCGACAATTCAACTCCGACTGAGAGTGCGGAGTCTTGGAACCTTGAGCTCCCGCAAGCGTCTGGCCTGGCCCGTGTCTCTCCCGAGCCCTCGCGGAAGGCGCTGGCCGTGGGGGTTCGGAAAATTCGTGCTATGGAAGTTGTCGGGTTTAGAGGCCGCGGGCAAGATGGTGGGATTTCAAGATGAGAAAGGACCGTTCTGAGCCTCCCGTCTAACCTGCACTGCCAGGGCCGGAGAATTTCACCCCAGGGGCCAGGATCAAGCCCAGAGCTTCTGGCTGAGCTGGATACGGCCCCCCAGAAAGAGCCCTCCCGTCTTAGCGTAAAGGCAGCAAGTGACAGACTCCACCCCATCGCTAGGCAAACTGGTCCCATAGCGAGTGACTCTCGCTGTTAAAAATCAGCCCTTATTCCTAGTCCGACTCCCCCAGCGCTGGCTCCCTGTTCCTTTGCCTACAGCTGCCAGCAAAAGAACCGTCTGTCCCTGATGTCTCCTCCCTGTGGATGAACTTGCAGCCCATCCCGTTACTGCTGGCACAGCCTTACCTACAGCCCAAGCTCTGCTCCGTACGAAACTACGGGCTTGATGCAGAACTTACTGGGCAAGTAAGTCTCTGTCCTGTGTGGGGCAGGTGATCTGATGAGATGCTCCTAACGGTCCCTTTTCGACCGTCTCTCGGCGACGCTGGATCGCTGCAGAGGCGACTGTTGGTGTGAGCAGCTGGGAGATGATACGAATCGATGCTGTTTCACACAGGCCTGGCTGCATTCGGGCCCCGTGTCTGCACTGCCACCGGCAGGCTCTTAATAACAAAGTGACGACGCACACGATGCATCACGGTAGCAGCAGCCGGGGGGCACAGACAGACGCGGGCTCTTGTCGCTAGGATGTAAACATTTTTGTCCTTTCCTCTAGCTGCAAAACGGGATGCGAATTCTAGTGGTGGTTCCCCCAGGCACTGTGGTCTGTTGTGCTCGTGTATCAAGGAGGCGTGATGCTCCTTCCTACTCAACTGCTCTTCAGATGGGGGGAAGTTCATTCCCCACCCCCAGGCCTTGCATCAGGTCTACGCACCGCGTGAGTGGTGCACGGACCTTGTGAGATTACAGACATGCCAAGGCCCTGCGTGGGCTCTTTGCCAAGAGGTGACTTTCATCCCGGGTACCCTGAGCATGTTGGCTGGGCACCCCTCGACTGGAAGAGGAGATGGAGTGTTGGAACCAGATGTTTACAATGGCTGGAGACTGGGGCATTTGGGAACTGGGCAGGCGCGGCAAGGGGAGACGGTGTCTGTCGGCACCAGCCCCGTCACGGAGGGAATGGCTCCATGGCAGTGGGGAGTTGCGAGGAAGCCAGGTGGTACAAGCGGGACAGCGTGCAGGACAGGAAAGGGAGGTGAGAAATAAAAAGCGATGGTGCGAAGGAAGAACCGCCACAGAAGGAGCAAGGACAACAGAGCAGGCAGAGGGAACAAAACTCCCTGGAAAGAGACAGGCAGCTCTTGGTGATTCTCCAAGTCAAGGCGAGTTTTCAAAATCAAAACCCAGGGCAGTCTGGGGCTATGTCTACACTACAGAGTTGTTCCAGGGTACCGAGATACCCTGGAAAAACTCTGCCGCGTCCAGGGAACGCGTCCACTTTTTCAGATCAGTTTCCGAAAAAGCAGGCGCGTTTTTTCGGAAGTCCTGTATTCCTCATTTGATGAGGAATAAGGGCTCTTCCG